TGTTTCTTTTAATGTTGTACGCCGCCCTGAGTCCTTGGGAGAAGGGCGGCATATAAATCTAATAAACCTAAACCTAAACCTATTTACCCTCTCTCTTTGGTTTCCCCCCACAGCCAAACTGCAAGACTTCAAATCCTTTTTGCTTTCTGATCCAGAGACAAAGAAGAGGTTGTCAGATCTTCGGCAGCGTGTTGAAACCTTTGCCCGTGCCTTCCCCATGCCTGGCTTTGACAAACGTTGATATCTCATTCAACCGAAGACTGGCTAACCATTAACACCTAGATGGCCAACAAGCTAGACATGAAGAGTCCCTGAAGCCTTGTCTCTCAGAGCTTTGTCTAGTGGAGCCCCTCTTCAGAGAGGTGATCTCCTTGGCCATTTTCTCTCTCTAGTCTTATCCCCATTTTATAATGACTCAAAAGAACTTAACTTTGTGTAAAAGGACTTGGCTCTGATTCGCAATACATGTATTACATTATGTAGCATGACTTGCAAGAATTAAAGTGATCCATCTCTTCTTTCTATGAATGAAGACATTTGAGCCCTTTTTGAACATTGGCCATCTCTGCTTTCAGGTGCCTTCTGAATGTACGTGTATCAGGCAGATATTTTCTCTGCGTGTATATATGCACAGCCAAAGATGTGAATGTGGATGTTACCCTTGTTCATCATAGTGATGTTTCTACATAGCAACCGAAGTAGGCAGCATCGTGCCTTTGCAACAATAGATCACCTCATACACACTGGATCCCATCAAAGGCCTTAACAAGCACATTGATTTAGATCTATCACACGAACATGTAACAAATAACCAATCAACAAGGGAACCAGTCAGCCTCTCAGAATTTAAATATAGTTCCAAACAAACAATCCACCATGCGACCAACTGACCCCACTGGCAGACAAGACAGATATAAGTTAAATAGGACCAAAAAAAAAACAACCCCACTGATGATGTTTCCTAGTCTGGTAATGAAACGTTCGGGAGCTAAATGGAAACAAGCTCGGAGATCAAACCACTGCCAAAATCTAAAACCCAAGCTACAAGTATTTTCTACTATTTCCTATCAGAGGCCTTTCTAATTAAAGATCCTGATTTCCCATAGTTTCCAATTAGATCCTGCTGACTTTCCACAAGGAAGAGGTAAAGGGCAAACACCCTCTCCATCGTTGTCCTCCAGCCCCTGGCATCAAAAATGTGTGACTTCTGATTTTGGTGACAGCGTGGAGCCATTGTGACTAGTAAACACTAAGAGGAAACACTCTATGCAAACACCTTTGCACTTCTCTGGCTTATTGAGCACAGGTGGCTGTCTATGGTAACCTATTTCTATTGGTTTTTTTTCTAAAGGTAGATGTATCATGATTTAACAGTAAAAGTTTATCACAGAACAAGCTGGTAGTCTGCACTATCTGTTTATATGGGGACAATCACCTTGCTGCTATTCCTTACGTTCCAGCAAGTTTGGCCTGCATTATTCACAAGGCCTCTTTTCCAGTGCAAAACTTCAGCTAACAAAACCACAAATAAGTGGATCTTGAATCTGGGAATCAGGACTTAGGTTTGGAGCCTATGTTCACCCTCATCCCCTAGACGTCATCAGGTCAATGCATCTATGCCTCCTCCTCCTCCTCCTCTCATGATAGATTGTATGGCAGCATCAAAAACCAGCAGTGGGATGGAGAGGTCCCTCCATCAAGAGCCATGTGGATGGAGAAGCCAACTCAAGCCACAAGCTGAGAAGCAGGGTAACACCGCGAAGGAGTTCCTCAGAAAAAGATAGCTAGCTACCATCTTGTGGAGCTTTGGAAGTGGACTAATCTTCCCAGCATCTTAACAACCAGGCCAAAAGGACGATTAAAAACAGATCCATAACCTAAACCATAACAAATGTGCAGTTGTGGGATAGGCTTTTGCTCACTCGGACAGTGCTGAGCATCAGCTTGCAAGTGGCTGTGTGGACACTTGTCAAGTTGCAACCTCACCAATCAGCCATCATAAATATGGTGCCCCCCCCCCCACAAGTATTTATTGCATTTCTCAGAATTGATAGTCAACAGGGAGCTGGATAGCATCAGCCTGGCAAGGCTGTGGTACAGTAAAGTGGTCCATTGGCATAGACATATTGTAGGCAGAACACCAATAGAATAGAATAGAATAGAATTCTTTATTGGCCAAGTGTGATTGGACACACAAAGAATTTATCTTTGGTGCATATACTCTCAGCGTACATAAAAGATGATACATTCATCACAAATCATAAGGTACAACACTTGATAGTATAAGGTACAAATAAGCAATCAAATCATACCAGGGAACAATATAAATTGTAAGGATACAAGCAACAAAGTTATAGTTGTACAGTCATAAGTGGGAGGAGATGGATGATAGGAACAATGAGAAAATAGTAATAGTATTGCAGACTTAGTAAATAGTTTGACAGTGTTGAGGGAATTATTTGTTTAGCAGAGTGATGGCATTCAGGAAAAAACTCCTTGTGTCTAGTTGTCCTGGTGTGCAATGCCTTATAGTGTCTTTCGAGGGTAGGAGTTGAAACAATTTATGTCCAGGATGTGAGGGGTCTGTAAATATTTTCACAGTCCTCTTTTTGACTCGTGCAGTATACAGGTTCTCAATAGAAGGCAGGTTAGTAGTAATTGTTTTTTCTATTATTTTCTACTAAATAATGACAACTGTAGAAGTTCCTCAAATGCTAATGCCTTAGTTTTTAAATGGGACATACGTGACTCTAAATCCTGAATACTTTAGTTGGTCAGCATGACCTCCTCTTCACCACAAAAGAAGATATATGCATGGAATAATCTATCTACTGTTAAGTTGAGGTTGAGGTTGATGTGATCATCATTGGGAAGAAGACAGCAGAACTCCGTGAGAAAATCTTATTTTGTCCTTGAGGATCCATCATAGAATGAAAGGGTCAGGGTGAGGCTACTGCTACTACCCCAAGGGGACCATTTCAGATACTATGTGCTTCAAGGCACAGCTTCCAGGGGAATATTTCGGTTTCTTCCTCAAGGACACAATTTTTTTTTATATTCTATGCATAATATTTGGAATAACACATAAAATGCGTTAAAATTAAAAAAAAAATGTCTGGGAGAATGTGCTGTCCCATCTATTATTCAACTTCTCGATTAATAGTTTTGAAAGGTAACTACCGTAGTCTCTTTAATATTATCTATTTCCCCCTTGTTTTGGGAACATACTGTTTCCCTCTTATTAATAAATCAGACAACTTCATTCAAATTTAGCTTTATGGGGGAAGTTCCTAAATCACTGGAAAGCTGGACTTCACAGTAAATTATATTTACCCTCCTCCTCCTCCTCCCCGCGTATCCTGGAAGCTTATCCTGAAGATTAATTACTATTGCTGATGACAACTGATGCTTTAGTTAAATTGCTCTGGTTTCAACTTCCAGATGTTCTGTTTCTTCTACCACAGCTGGCTTTGATTATATATTTTGATACTAAGCTTTTTTTGTGTATGCAATGCTTGTAATCACATGATGCTGCTTGCATCGGAAGATTTGTCTTGCCTGAATGGCCCTGTTGGCAATTATAATCCAACACTTCTGGAGGGTACCAGGTTGGAGAAGCCTGTCAAAAGTCAATGACCCCTATGAAAGTCTACAAGCTAGCAGAATATCCCTGTAATGTTAATGCAATGATTATGATCATTGCCTTCCAAAGAGTTCTTATTTGCTCATTCTATAAGGTCATCACATGCATCAAAAGTGGGTTTCTTTTTATTTTCAAAAAAAGCAGCTGGACTGATTTTTGAGGCAAAACAAGACATTTTGCTTCCTCTCCTGGACTCTTCATCGGTTGTATTGGATGCTGTGGGAGATGGAAGGACAGATTTTTTTTTGCAGCAGCTGGCAAAAAAGCCAACATAGTTCTAGGCTACATAAACAGAGGGATAGAATCAAGATCATGTGAAGTGTTAATACCACTTTATAATGCCTTGGTAAGGCCACACTTGGAATACTGCATTCAGTAGAAAAGATGTGGAGACTCTAGAAAGAGTGCAGAGAAGAGNTTTAATCGGGCGCGGCTTAGTCGAGCGCGGTTTTGTTGTGCTACGAACAACCGCAGGTGATGTGACAAGAAAATGTGGCAAGGAAAGTCTTAAAATGGGGCAAACCCACTTAACAAATTTCCCACTAAATTTTGGGCTCAGTCATCGTCTTAAGTTGAGGATTACCTGTATTTTAATGTTCTTCCCCATTAGTAGCCGCCATATAGAATGATTCTTAGGTAAGAGAGAATAATTCTAGTCCAGTTTTCCATATGATGTGTGGGTAGATGGACTTTTTCATGTGGGATCGAAACATAAACTTTGGACCCAATTGTGGTCGTAAATCGAGAATAACCTTTATATAGTGCAGATGTGAAGGTGTGTAGGTATTGGCAGGCAGATGCTTGGTAACATAGTAAGTCTATGAAAGAATGTAAACAATATTGTGATAGGAGAGAGGGCATATTCAAATGGTCGACTCAGCCAAGAACTACATAACATTTTCAAACAGGATAAAATCCCTATTATGTTGAGGTAAACAACATAACATGAAATTTGTTGTGCCAAGGGAGGTATTTGCTTAATATCTCTGTATATGTAGTTTTCAGGGCTATGTGCCTTGTAATGGGGTAATTCTTAGTGGGTACAATGGAGGTCACTATTGTCCCCAGATGAATCAGAGATTTAGCAAAAATATTGCCCATTAAAGTTTACAAAAATGCTTCTCTAAGTGTTTTCTGTCTCATCTTTTCCTACTATTGTGGAGGATTGCTGGGGATTAGTTAGATTGCCTGGAGAAAACTTAACTCTTCTCATTCTTTTGGACTAGGTGGCACAGATAACCATCTAGTACTAGTGGATCTGCGCCCAAAAGGTATTGATGGAGCCCGGGCTGAAAGAGTCCTGGAACTAGTGTCCATCACTGCCAACAAGAACACCTGTCCCGGGGACAAAAGTGCTTTGACACCTGGAGGCTTGCGACTTGGTAAGAGCAAGGAATTTAAAAAAAAAAAGATTATGTGATTGTTTCACACCTGTCGATGATGACTCTTAAAATGATGATTCTGTACAATGGCAACCCTAATTTCAGATGCATTAAAAATAAAATGCTTTTCTCCATGGTCGATTAATTTAGAAAATCAGGAATGGGTGCATATTTCATTAATATAGAATAGATTACATCCAAGGCTACACAAATATTATTCAGCAAACACAGTAAAAAAATGGGGGGGGAGGGTTCTTATTTTGGGCATCTTCAATCTAATCTTCAGCACTTTAAGCTATTTTGGGAAGATCCATGGAATTGGAAGAAAATCCATTCAACACTTAACTATTCCTTCAGCAGCTGAATGTCTTTAAATATAATCCTTGGAAACACTTATGTTGCAGGATTTAGAATCACCTGCTGCTGAGCATTTCTTATACACATTTTGCATAAATCTTCATCTCTTATCTTGCTGTAAACGAGCTTGTATATACAGATGGGAAAGGGAATTTGTAAACTGAATAGGCACCCCTGTATATGTGAGAACTTTTCTTGTTTTCCTTATACACCACAGCATGACAGTACGGGCATACCAGTGCCTGCTTGTAGCACCAGGTACCGTTCCAGTACAGTGCTCCGGAGGGCCCACCTACCCGCCCGCTCTCCTTACTGCTATTTGAGCTGATCGGGGCATTTGCGTACGCGCACCGAGCGTATGGCGCCTGCGCAATGTTCCGCCAAGCAGCTGGATGTTGTGGGCGGTAGGTATGCATATGTGTGCGTGCTGCGCGCCTGCACGTGGTGGGCGCCCGGCCCCGTTGCACCGTACCAGTTGCACCGGGATCCAGAACCCACCACTGCAGTACGGGTGTCAAACTTGCGACGTCACATTGCTGTACGTGATATTTTGCAATATTTTTCCCATTCGTGGAACTGGAGTGGGTGTGGCCTGTGACGCCAGTTTGACATCCTTGCACTAAAGCCTTATCCCCTCAGGGTTTTCACAGCACAGTATTTATTTGTAAATGTGGTCTTTAGATGTCAAAAGCAACACTTCTCGAAATTGTTTTGACTTTTTCCACAGGAGCACCTGCGCTTACTTCCCGACGGTTCCGGGAAGCTGATTTCCAAAAGGTTGTCGAGTTAATGGATGAAGGAATCCAGATTGGACTGGATGTCAAGCAGAAGACCTGTAAGTCAATGTGTTATGAAAAACCAGAATCTGCTGGTACTTATTGGCCAATTTTTGATTCCCAGTCAGTGAGTTGACATAGAAGTTGCATTGGCTGAAAATGTGGAGACATTTATGAACTATTTGGTTATATTTGATAGATTTGTTACAGATTTGCTATATTTTAATTGTGGTTCAACTGAGACTCACGTGGTAACAAGCATCCTCTGAATGCTGCCTACCATCTTTTTATTGATCTTGCAATGTAATTTCAACACACACCCAAATTTTCCTACCTAAAAATGAAAGTGGACTATGTGTTAACACCCACTAGTCTAGATTTTATTTTTAGTGTGCTCTCTGTCCTGGAAGAGAGGGAAAGCAAATATATAACACCGGAGGGGATATGGAAACCCAGTAGCTATGAGGCAACCTTCGGCAACATGATTTCCTCCAGATGTGCTGGACAAATCCCCATGTTCATCAGTCAGGGCAGGGGAAAAATGCCTTAGTATTTTTAGTATTTTATTAATATTTATAGGCCGCCCTTTTCCCCGCGGGGACTCAGGGCGGCTTACATAAAATAGGGAGGGGGGTATAACCAATAAGCATAAAACAACACATAAGGGTTAAACCAGTCCCCGTCA